CTGTTAATAAACTGTAATAATAACCATAGCAACGACAACACGGATCATGCACGGAATAAAATTAAAACGGGGAAGTTTCCAATCCCGGTCTGTGTAGTATATCTATGTTTAAACACCCGTGAGGCATGACCGTATCTATGGTATGACACGGTTGACCTTTGATTAATTGCAAAGTTCTATTGCATCATAGATACTCCATTGGTAGACCTGCGCTATCACTCTGCGCTCAGTTTTGTTGTTCGATGTCTATGAATAATAATAATGTTAATGAAATTGCAGAAAACCACGCCTATGTTTTGGCGGTGTTAGCCTGTTAGCTTTAAAAATGGAAGAGAGTGCTACTACTAAAGGCTCAGACTCTGGCTCAGAAAATAGCTCAGAAACGTAAACAGCTCTGTATAGTTATAAAAAGGCTACGTTCAATCCTTTATAGATTATTGGAAGAGGTAATTTTAAAGTCAGAAGAACTGATGTATGAACTTTTGAAAAAAAGGAAACTTGTGAAAAATGTCATCAAGGAAAGACTTACACAAAGAGTAAGGGTTGGGTTGAGGCTGATTCTACCTTTATACTGTTATCTTTGTAGTTGGAGGAAATACATGCAAAGCAACAAGAGATATCCAATAAAACTATCAAGATTGACGATGATCATCCTGACAATGATAATGTAACTGTACTTAATGTAACTGCACTTTTCCCATCACAATGTTATGATGAAATGTAGGTATTTTATTCAGTTGTCTTATCTTTTAATCAAAAATTATACTATAAATACTAATAATAAAAATAAACTAGACTGTCTAACCTAATGGGTGTGGCTGAAGCATCAAGCTGCTAGCATAGCAATCATGTCATAGGAAATAGGAAAAGCAACAAGAAATTTCCAATAAAAGTATATATTCATTTTAACGATGATTGTCCTGACAATGATAGACTAATGTAACTGCACTTTTCCCATTACAATGTTATGAAGAATGAGCCCTCTATTTGTTGGATCATAGATATTACACCCACAATATCTATGGTTGAATCTACATGTTTTATTATAGATATTTTATTCAGTTTGTCAAAAAAATAATTTTAAAAATAATTTATTAAAATCAGTCTCTAGTCTATGGGCGGGGTGTCCTGCTGTTTCTTCATTTTTATGATTTTTCCCGGCGACAATCATAGATACCGGTAGTAGATCCATATCTATGGTAGATCTATTCGTTCTCATTCAAGAATACTATGGAGTTCAGCTGGTACACAAATCTTGGCTCTAACTTTCCAACAAGGAATGGATCTTCATTTTACTGTGGCCATTCCATTAATGATGAGCTGAGACCATTACTCATTGTATTCTGTAGCAGTGGATCTGTCTGTTCGTTCATCTGTGCTGTTTCAATCATAGCTATGATAGCCTGTAGACTGTTCAAGTTTTTAACACACAGGCTCATATTGTACATGCTTGCAGCAATCCTTTTCTTCTCTTTGTCGGTGTCTGTCCAATTCTTTGGTTTGTGGTTAAAGTACTGGAGAAATGAAGATGTTGCTGAATGTATTTTAGAAGGGTTTCTTCTAGAGTATTCAGTGTGGGTCATGCTTTTATCAACTCTAATGTTGACTGTGCATTTGACTGTAATGGTCCTTTTCCCTTCATTTTACGAGAAAATTGCTAAAATAGAAGTATTTTATTTTTCATGCCCTTGGATATTCCCTCTCTTTGTGTCTTGGATTCCTTTTGTTCACCACAACTATGGTGTAGCTGGCTCATGGTGTTGGATACGAATATACAACGAGAATTGCTCCATTAATAAAGAAGGAATGATAGAGATTTATGCAGTTTGGTACAGTGAGCTAACCATTGGATTAATCCTTAATAACATTGCTCTCATTATTATTGGGTTAACACTCTGTAAACATGCTTATAGAAATACAACATCCCTCGATTACAGGAAAGCTCTCAAGCAGACACTACCTTTGCTTGCTTATCCAATCACGTACCAATTTCTTAGCAGTTTTGCTATAGCTAATCGACTTTATGAAGCATTTCACAAGGGACATTCTATTAAGTGGATGTCTTATGCTCATGCTGTCACAGCTCCCAGTTGGGGCCTTTTTGCACCTGTGTTTACAATTATCTATATCGCCTCTCTTCATAAAGTTATTAGTAAAAACTTCAACCAGTGGAGGTGTTGCAGGAAAAAAGTCAGGTATATTATTAATGGGGATTTCGTTAGTCAGAAAGAAAGAAAGAGGCTCATTGATCCATCTGATCATCTTACACGATATGGAGTGACCGTCACGTGTCCAACTAGTGCCCATCTTGGTACAGAAAGCGAAGTTGATGAAGAATATGACAGGTTATTGTCATCACAAACTCAAACCTCTTGTAATTCATAATCATCATCATATCATGTACTAAACATTATCAGCCCTTTTTGTTATTTATTATGCAACTTTGTTATTCATCATAGTTAAAGGCTGTTAATTAATAATAATAAATAAACTGTCTAATCTAATGGGTGTGGCTGAAGCATGTCTGCTAGCTAGCTGCTAATGGCTGCTACAACAATAGTTGGTCAGGTGAGGTTGAATCAAGACTGCCATGTGCAGCTATACTGTAGTATATTTCAGATTAGTCGTTTGGAGAAGGAGACAGCAGCTTTTAAGAAACAACTAGAAGATATTGATAATCAACTCAAATCGGTTACAAATGAACCAGACAGGTTAGAGATTTAAAATGATTATATTTTAGCCTCTTTTGCAGGAGAATATTGTACAAAATAGCCGAAACACTAAAAGCAGACATGGAGGAGAAAGGTATTGCAACAAACCTCAGCCATAAACAAAGCATAGTAAAGTACCTTAATAATCATTTAGCTACATGTACCATATCATATTGAGCTTGTAATTCATGTTTTGTATTTTTCAAAATTTTATGTATAGAAAGCAAGCTGGCTCATTTGAGAAAGGAGAACAGAAAAACGACACTAGCGGCTATACTTATATTCATAATCCTAGTACTATTCTATGTATTCATCATGTCTCCTCTCAAACAGAACAAGAAATCAGAAAATTAAACTCACAATCATGTATACCATCTATACATACATTTAATGAAGACTTTGTTCACAATTTATTTTTGATTGTAAAAGAATAGGTACTGCATATTTGTTTGAAGAAATGAAAGCACAAAAGGTTGCCGTAATTCTCCTCAGTGATAGTAACTCAATATTAATATGAAGCTACTATTAATGTACATTGCACACACATAAAAGAACAATTGGTATACATCATTTCTATTTATTATTGTATAGCGTGTGTGTACATGTACACTCCATTAAACATATAGTATACAGTCCACATACAATTACATCTAAAGGTCTAATAACAGACTGCGTGGGTCTTCAACTCCTGACTTGATTTTCCTAAGGAAGAGCACAGCTTCACGACCATCAATTAATCTATGATCATAGGTCAGTGCTATATACATCATTGGGCGAATCTCAACCTGTAAAATATTAATTGTATTATTATCGAAGATAATGTGACAATTTCTATTATGTTTATTTTCGATTAATAATAATAATAACAGCGCTTACTTTTCCTTCAATAGCAACAGGTCTATCAAATACCCCATGCATGCCCAGTATGGCCGACTGTGGTGGATTGATGATTGGTGTACCAAACATTGAGCCATATACTCCTCCATTACTGATAGTGAAAGTACCTCCATCCATATCCTCTACTGCCAATGCACCATCTCTTGCCTATACAGAAAAGGAAAATCATGAGGCATGTATACTGCATAGTATACTTATGTGCTACCAAAAGTTTAAAAATGGCACAAACTTTATACAACATTTCAAATGGCTATAACTTGAAAAATTTAAGTCGGAATTGGCTCAAACTTTCTACACAGCATAAGGAGATCAACATGCATCAGAAAATGTAATAAAAACTGGGGGTGATTTCGGAGCCATTTTTCGGAAAAAACCATGGGCTATAGCCTTGGGTACTTTTCAGAAATTTGGAGTTTTTAAAAAATGGCCATAACTCGAAAAATTTAAGTCGGAATTGGCTCAAACTTTCTACATAGCATAAGTACATCAATATGTATCAGAAAATGTAATAAAAATTGGGGGTGATTTCAGAGCCATTTTTCGGAAAAAACCATGGGCTATAGCCTTGGGTACTTTTCAGAAATTTGGAGTTTTTAAAACATGGCCATAACTCAAAAAATTTAAGTCGGAATTGGCTCAAACTTTCTACACAGCATAAGGAGATCAACATGCATCAGAAAATGTAATAAAAACTGGGGGTGATTTTGGAGCCATTTTTCGGAAAAAACCATGGGCTATAGCCTTGGGTACTTTTCAGAAATTTGGAGTTTTTAAAACATGCCCATAACTCGAAAAACTTAAGTCGGAATTGGCTCAAACTTTCTACGTAGCATAAGTACATCAATATGTATCAGAAAATGTAATAAAAATGGGGGGTGATTTCGGAGTCATTTTTCGGAAAAAAGCATGGGCTATACCCTTGGGCATTTTTCAGAAATTGGCTCATTTTTAAAATGGCCATAACTCAAAAAATTGAAGTCAGAATTGGCCCAAACTTTCTGAAAAGCATAAATACATCAAAAAGCATCAGAAAATACCTTTTGTCCCAGGCTTGCAATCTCTTTTTCAATGTCAGCATAATTCATAACATTGACATTTCTTACAACAGGAACAACTAAACCCTGCGAGTGAATTAAATAAATGAATAAATAAATATGAGTATAAACACTGCACTGCTCTTACCTTTGGTGTAGCTACTGCAACACTGATATCAATGTAATCTCTATAGATGATTTCATTATTATCAATAACTATAATAATGACAGAGACACATAAAATGCATGAAATTTTGATCATTTTTGATCAATAGCAATAACCCATAAAAATTTAATAAGTGTAAAAAAATTTTTATAATAATTACGTGTGCTGTAATTTAAATTAAGAAAAGACTAATAACCTGCATTTACTACTGGTTGATCCTCAAGTGCTGAGCAAGCTGCCTTTACAAATGGCGACATGAATCCAAGCTTGATACCATGCTTCTTTACAAACGCGTCTTGAAACTTCTTCCTAAGCTCAATGACACTAGACATGTCCACTTCATTGAAAGTGGTGAGCATTGCATTGACATTCTGTGCCTCCTTGAGCCTCTCGGCTATCCTCTGTCTCATCCTTGACATCTTTGTCTGGAAACAAAAAGAGAGAGAGAGAGAAGGATTGACATGAAAAACAAAAGTTAATAATCATACATGTACATCTAAGTTTATTAAAGATAGAAGTACATGTACATGTAAATACTGTATTAATTTGCTAATAATTGCAAAGTTATTAAACGTTTTAACATTACAACTGCAGAAATGATAAAAATGATTTCTGTATTATAATAGTCATCAGTTCCTTACTCTTTTCTCCGAACGACTGACCACACCCGCGGACTGAGAGGGAGCAGAAAATGACGGAAGAGGAGGAGGAGGAGGAATATTACCTAATGGCATTGCTACAAAATTAGAAAATTTCAAAAATTAAAAATTAAATTGTCATCATGCAGCTGGTGCAAATACATTGTAGATTTGAAAAAGAAATAGAAAAGAGGACATACTTGGTAAAGGAGGAGGTGGAGGAGGTGTAGTTGGTATAGGACCAGCAGCAGAAGTGGCAGGAGGAGGAGGAGCAGAGGGAGGGGAAGGAGGAGGAGGAGGTGTGGCACTTTCTTTAGGTGTAGGAGGCGATGCTGTACTATACTACTAAAATTAGGAGAGTCCATAAATATTGGATGCATGGGAATTACTACTATACAGCGAATGTACATATATTGTGTTAATCTAGGATAGCAGTGACATGACTTCTCATCCTTTCACAGGTAATAGACTACATGTACATGTATGCTACATAATTCGATTACCTTATCAGTTTCAATCTCTGCTATAATTTCGTCTTCTTTAACAAAATCGCCAACATCTTAGAGAAAGGATTAAAAAAAAAGACACATGAATATAGAAAAAGATATAAACAACTCTATTCACACACACACATACAATGTATGCATGAGAATATGCACAAGTTATTGTGAAATACATTATACTTGTAGTTGCTGTACAAGTTCCATGTGCTCAATTGCATGGAGACAAGATATGAATGGTATGAACTATTCTTGTATCTGTAATACCAAACCAGGAGAGCCCAGATATACCCATCAATGCTGTTTACCAATAGATATAACATCACATGAAAGCAATCAATCACTAATCTCCAACATCTGAACCAACTAGCTAATACATGTACATGTGTATGTACAGTAGATCTAGTCATGCAAATGCAAGTATGCCATTCTTAATTTTTTGTTTTCGAACTCATATTCTTCTCCCCCCCCCTCTCTCTCCCTCTCTTCTACTAAAAATTGAAGCCATGCATCATTATACAGCAATAGTAAGTAGAGTATATCATTGTAATGAAGAGCTGAATGGACAGCACAAATGACATTAGACCATCATTGGTCATTAGCAGCACACAAACATAGCCTGGAGTCTATGGGCTGATGCCACAGATGTGTCTACTATAAAGAAGTGAATGAGAAAGCTATTGAAGGTTGATTTACACATGATTATGCTAGCAATAGGAAGATACCATAAAACTTGAATGTGTCAAATACATACACAATATACTTAAGTAGATTTAACAAACATGTACATGTAGGTAGTAGGTACTAGGTACATACAAGTATACATGTAGGTGTACATGTCAATTGTATAACAATTTTTATGCTTAATCCCATCAAACATACATGTAGAAATAAATGTAACTGGAGACAATTAGAGGCATGACAGAACAAGAATTCACAGGCTCAATCATGAACAATTAGACATTTAACTATTTAATTTTAGACTGTAAATGCACATATACACGTGCATGCATGTATACACAGTAACAAGTGTTGACTCACTTTTGTCCCACTTCACATTGCCCTCCGAGATTGACTCAGCAAATGCAGGAGTATTAACTATCTTATACTCATTACCTGGAGAGAAAGAGAGAGAGGGAGAGAGATGGAAAAGGTAGAATTTATCCAACTCTATGCACATAAAAACATGTAACTATACTTACACATAAAAGTTTGTAAATATATACATTGTTCATATGTTTCACTTTAAAATAATGATTCTTAATTGGCCTCTTACTCTGAGTCTGACCATATGTATCAAAATCGAAAGGAAACTACTTAATAGAAAGATACCCACTGCTATTCACAATTATGGTGATATATCAAACACACATGGAGAGCCAGCCATCCAATGGCATCTTCTTGTTAATATTTGAATTCAAGTGTGACAGTTTTCATGACAGTTTGACCACATCAAAAACTAGACAGTAGACACACACACACACACACACACTTACAACCAAACTATGAGATATAATCGCAACTATGAGTCACAATTGACGAGCAAAGGAGTAATGATAATTACAATAAACTAAATTAAAATATCAAATGATTCCTATACAGACAGAGGATAAGATATCCTGAGACACACAAACACTATCATATTATGATATGATAATTTCATGAACTCTGTAGTCTAGTATGAACCTCACACCAAAGAAGATCATGCAGGTATGTACATAATTCAACATATCATTACTTACACAAAATTGATGAAGAGCTAACAAATCTTTGAAACTTTACAGGTGATAATACTGAAGCCAGTAGCCTGTGGTGACTGCCAGAGCTAATTGGTAAGCTATAAGAGAAAA